TGTCCTTCATTAGCAAACTGAGAAGTTTCCTCATGATTAGATTCATGTTACCAGTTTTTGGCCAGAATGCCACAGAATGATATAGCTGTACCTCATGTTAGAGGGTACATGATGCAGATTTATCCCATTGCTAGTGATGTTAGCTTTGATTACTTAATGAAAGTGGTTTCTGCTAAGTTTCTCCTTTGTAAAGTTACTCCCTCATTCTTTGTAATTAATACATATTTTTGGGGGGAGTGCTCTGAGACTGTGTAAATAACCGTTTTCCCATCAGACTTTTATTCACTGGTATTAGAATCCATTAATTCTTTCCTGAAATAATTATTGTGACACACTTATAATCAGACTAATTTGCTAAGGAAAAGCTAATATATGAGGATAAGACTCAGAATAAGATCTCTTTCTCACTGAGTCCCTGGGGCATTTTGCTGTAGTCATTTGACTCATTTATGCTACTTTGCGATTGGGGAAGACGTATTCCTATCTCTGTGGATAAATCCTGACCCAGGGACAAAGAGGCACAACCTGCCTGAGTCCTAAGTCTCTGAGCCACAAGCCCCAGAGTGCCCTGTTCTCTTTGTGGGCTGAACAGGTCTCTGGGCAGGTGGGCAGCTTGTGGTCAACACAGCAACCATCTTTATCATTGAACCAGCCCTGAAAATCTGGGAACTTTTGTCTGTACAAAAAACTTTAGAACTACTCAGTATCTTAAAGATCATGACCCAGAGTATGCAGTGATAAATTCAAGAGCCCATAGTTTCTGGTGCATTTGGCTGTTATCAAAGCCCTGCTTACAGTCTCCTGGGGGTGAAGGAAAGGGATTGCTTTCTACTTATTTTTCTTTAGGTTGCACATGTTCGGCCCCAGGGGGGATATCTGCTCTTTAGATTTGCCTTCTCCACTAGAGGTGGTTAGCTGTTCTCTGTGTTTTGGCTTTTTTCAAGGGAAATGGGCAACTTTTCTACTCTGGCTCTCAGTGTAAGACATAAATATTAAACAGTTAAAAACTTGAGCAATTATTCAACATAGATGTAGTGCAGAGTCACTACGTAGATAGACCTCTATGAGTAAAGGTTTAGCATTTATCATAACATTGGTTTATTCTTTATGATAATTTACTTTAATGTTGTTTTTCTCAATTATAAGAACCCAGGTCTTTCTTCTGAGCTGTTAGGTGAAAACTGCTAATTGTACCAGATAACAATATAGGAAAATGTATATACACAGAAAACAATGTTACTGGTAGTGTAACTAGCCAGGTGATTAGGAAAGAACAATTTTGTTAGCTTGCTAAAATGTACATGAAGATGGATTTGATTTTTTAAAATCTACTTAAGATAGTTGGCTTGTTTGTGTTTCATACTTGGGTGTGGCTACTGTTCTCTGGAGACATGGAGATATTTAGTTGATACTGACTTTTTCCAGGGGACTTGCAGGATTTCTTGAATTTTTGGCCTTAGGTATGTTTTTCTTTTATAAATTCCTTTCTTCCCTTTCATGTACATCTTGCTTTCTGGCTCAAATATTAGATAATTGTTTAATGATTTCTTAGCAGAATGCTTTTTAAAAAAATTGCCACTTATTAATATATTCTTATTTTCTTAATATTTAACCACTGTTAAATATTCCTTTTGTCACACAGTTTGCCACTGAATGGGTGCACATGAATGCACTTAATCAAGAGCAGTTGTGTTGTTTCTTCTGCTTTCTTCACTGGTAACAGTGTTTATTATCGCCCTCTAAAATTTCTTGAGATGTAATTTACATACTGTACAATTCACCCATTTACATTGCATAATTCAGTGGTTTTTAGTATATTTTTAGAATTATGCAGCCATCACCATAATCAATTTCAGAACATTTTCATCACCTCAAAAAGAATATCCTATATACCCTTTAAGTATCAATTCCCAATTCCTTCATCACCTCCCCCTCCCCCCGCCATCCCAGCAGTAAACAACTGGTAATCTACTTCCTGTGTTTATAGATTCTCCTGTTCTGGACATATGATATGTAAATGGAATCTAGTAATATGTGCTCTTTTGTGACTGGCTTCTTTGACCTAGCTTAATGTTTTAAAGATTCATTGAAGTTCTACCACATATCAGCACAATGTTGTAGCATGTATAAGTGCTTCATTTCTTTTTGTAGCCAAATAATATTCCATTGTATGGACATACTAAAGTTTGTTTGCTTTTTTTTCTTTTCTTACAGTTAAGTGTTTTATGTCCTGAGAATTCGTTTTCTTGCATGATGACTCTCCTCCCCCCACCCTGCCACCTCTCTTAACTGTAAGGAGTCTTGCCAAAACTTGTTCATTGAGCTTTCTTCTTAGAGTTAAGGTTTTTTTTTTAAACCCAAGTTTCCAACCTTCTTTTAGACTTACCTGAAGTCTTACCTTTGCCTTTCGACAGTGTTAAAATAGATAGTAGCCACTAATATGCATTATTAGAATTCTTCCACTTTTTAGGACATTTCCCTCTATTCCCCTGTCTCTGGGGATAGGGTAGATTTTTGTCAAGACTGGATCTTTTAATAGTTTAACTTGAACTACTGGATAAGTTAACTGTACATGATTAAATATACATTTAGTTATATTTGCATGGCTAACGTATCCCTTGGCAACCATCTTTTTCTGAATTTGAGTACTCTTACATACCTCATATAAGTGGAATCATGAAATATTTGTCGTTTTGTGACTGGCTTGTTTCACTTAGCAAAATGTCCTCAAGGTTCATCCACGTTGTAGCATTTGTCAGAATTTCCTTCCATTTTTTTTTTTTCTTTTTTTATAATTTATTTTATTTTTGGCTGCATTGGGTCTTTGTTGCTGTGTGCAGGCTTTTCTCTGGTTGTGGCGAGCGGGAGCTACTCTTTGCTGTGGTGTGTGGGCTTCTCATTGTGGTGGCTTCTCTTGTTGTGAAGCACGGGCTCTAGGTGCACGGGCTTCAGTAGTTGTGGCATGTGGACTCAGTAGCTGTGGCTCGCAGGCTCAGTAGTTGTGGCGCATGGGCTTAGTTGCTCTGCAGCACGTGGGATCTACTCAGATCAGGGCTCGAACCCGTGTCCCCTGCATTGGCAGGCAGATTCTTAACCACTGTGCCACCAGGGTAACCCCTTCCTTCCTTTTTAAGGCTGAATAATATTACATTGTATGTATATACCACATTCATTCATCAGTGGACACTTAGGTTGATTCTACCTTTTGGCTATTATGAGTAAGGCTGCTATGAACGTGAACATGTGTGTACAAGTATCTCTTCAAGACCCTATTTTCAAATTCTCTTGGATACATATATCCACAAGTGGAGTTGCAGGATCATATAATTTTTTTTTCCTTAAAAATTTTTTTTAAAAATTTTATATTGGACTACAGTTGATTTATAATGTTGTGTTAGTTTCAGATGTACAGCAAAGTGCTTCAGTTATACCTACACATGTATCTATCCTTTTCAAATTCTTTCCCATTTAGGTTATTACAGAATATTGAGTGGAGTTCCCTGTGCTATAAGGATCATATAGTTCTATTTTTAATTTTGGGGGGAATTGCCATACTGTTTTCTACAGTGGCTACACTATTGTACATTCCCATGAAACAGTGTACAAAGGCTTCAGTTTCTATACATCTTTGCCAACACTTATTTTCTCTTCTCTCTCTCTCTCTCTCTGTTTCTCACTCGTAGCCATTGTAATGGGTGCTACATTGCCCTAATGATTAGTGATGTTGATGTTTCATCTGCTCATTGACCGTTTTTATATTATATTTGGAGAAATGTCTATTCAAGTCCCTTGCCCATTTTTTAATCTGATTGTTTGTTTTGTTAGAGACTTGTAGAATTTCGTTATGTATTCTCAGTGTTACTCCCTTATCAAATGTAGATTGTGTAAATATTCTTTGGGTTTTCTTTTTACTCTGTTCATGTCTTTTGATACACCAGTTTAAAGTCTAATTTTTTCCTTTTCTTGCCTGAGTCTTTGGTGTCATATCCAAGAAATATTACCAAATTCAGTGTCATGAAGCTTTTGCTCTATGTTTTCTTTTAAGGGTTATATAGTTTTAGCTCTTGTATTTAGGTCTTTAATCCACAATTTAGGATTTGATTAAGAAAAACTGGAGAGTCACTGAATAGAACTATTTCTTCTTGCTTGCTCGCTCTCTTGTTTGCTGCCCTTTTGGTCATCAGTCAGAATCTTAGTATTAAAAATGGTATGTAGGGGCTTCCCTGGTGGCGCAGCGGTTGAGAGTCCGCCTGCCGATGCAGGGGACGTGGGTTCGTGCCCCGGTCCGGGAAGATCCCACATGCCGCGGAAAGGCTGGGCCCGTGAGCCACGGCCGCTGAGCCTGCGCGTCCGGAGCCTGTGCTCCGCAACGGGAGAGGCCACAGCAGTGAGAGGCCCACGTACCGCAAAAAA